CCAACAATTCACTAAAAATGTTTTTTTTATTGGTCTTATGAAGTATTCTAATTTGTTGATAGTGAATTGGTGGGTTTAGATAGTGAATTGGTGGGTTTTTGTTAAAAGTGAGCCAAAATCATCACAATTAAAAGAACCAAAGACTTAAACTACTTCAGTCTGTGTGCATTGAATTTATTTAATACACGAGTTTCACAATTTGAGTTGAATTACTGAAATAAATGAACTTTTCCATGGCATTCTAATTTATTGAGATGCACCTGTATATATATATACGTACATATAGTATAAAACTTATTTAATAATATTAATAAATTAATATAAATAATTTAAATAAATTAATACAAATAATTTTACTTTACTTTTTTTAAAATAAAAAATACAAAGTAATGAAACATTTATATAAATATATTTCATAAAATATGATGTTTATTTAGTAATAGTAGTAGTAGTAGTAGTAGTAGTAGTAATAATAATAATAATAATCTCTAATAATTCTCTCTCTCTCTCTCTCTCTCTCTCTCTCTGTCTCTCTCTATGCCAGCAGTCTGTTCTTTGAGTGTTGTACCCAGGCTACCTGGCTGTATCACTGCAATGCTCATCATGCATATTTTATAAGAGTTTTTACTACTGAGTGATGAGGTTGCTTTTCCTGTCAAATAGCCATCGGTAGTAGCTCACTCTGTTCTGCACAGCTGTCAGATTTGTAAGAGGTCTAAGTTAGTGTGCAAGCAAGAGGGAGAGGGCGTTTCATCAGTAGCACGCTTCAAAGGAAACCGAATACAGGAAGAGCCGTTCGTGTTTAGTATACTCTTTGAATTTCTAAACAGCACACCTGCATCACCTGAGGCCACTGTGACCTTGGATGATCTGTTCAAGTTTGAAATTTGTTTGAAACCTGTCATGCTTGCAATCTGTCTGTATGCGGACAGAGATTGCAGTTGTTTTAACCTTTCATGATCACGGTTGCTTCCATGCATGCATATGCAAAAAAAACCAAAAAACTTTTAAGTTCATCAAATTTTATTTATTTAAATTAATTTTCTGTATTATTCAGAAATAAAGGGAATCTTGCAATAAATAGTGCAAAAAGACAAAAGATATTGACATTTTCTATTAAATAATATTTAAGGACACACTCATTGGCATACTGGTGTATTGATATAGCCTCTAGAAAAAGTCACCAAATTAATGAATCTGAATTAATCTTTTTGGTGAACAAAATAAAAACAAAAAATGCTCAATCAAAAGATAATTTTTTTTAATTATTGTGAAAAAAATTGCGGGGAGGTGAGATCTTGCAATGAACAGTGCAATATGGACTTTAATTTACGCCTGCATACCATTGACAAAAGATATTGATGTTTTCTTTTAAATTGAAATGTTTGTATTTTAAATTAGGGCCGTTTCAGTCATGAATGACTGTGCTAACGAAATAATCTTTTGAGTAAATTAGCGGCTATGGCCAATGCATACTGGTGTATTGATAGAACATATGTACAGAACAAATTAGAACACATTTTTACCCCAGTTTACTTTCTGGACAAGTTTACTCTAGTTGAAAGTCAAAGCCAGTCTGCAGATTTGAGCTGACATTTAATAGAAAATTGTGTAGCGTATGATGGTCACAGACTCTGATTTTTTTAGCTGCAGATTATGATTCTATCCAGTTGGAGGATATCAATCTTTTTTGAACTTTCAAAGATATTTTGAACTGGTTTTAGAAAACATTGTTTTAATTTGTCACGCATCTCCTAGCAACAAGGTACGTGTTTCAGATTGAGTTTGTTGTGAAGAATCAACGACCAGTCCTGCTTTGAGCAGTATTGCACTTGTTACTTTCATAATGACCTTGTAGATGTGTTGAGAATCTCCACAAAACATGTAATTGAATCTGTAAGGTCTTGCAGTGCATTTGCTCCTCTTCTCCGTGTCATCCCTTTGTCTCGCTCTTCTCGCGCTTTTTTTCCTCTCAGGCACTTCACCCAAAACAACCACACTGATTGTGATCTTTATAAAAGAAAAGCAAGAGACCCAAAAATGAAGAGAAAGAGAAAAAGGGATGTAGCAAGCGAGAGTGAGTTGAAAGTAATAGACTGGAAGAATCGATTGCGGGGAGCTACAGCAGAAGACATTAGAGAGGAATCATGCTCGCCCGCACTCTTCCCCCTGGCTTCTTTTTGTTGTTTTCCTCTAGTTTGGAGACCTCTCTCTTTTCTGTCTTCCTCACTTTTCCCTTGTCTCTTTCACACTTCCTTTCTTTTCTTCATTTCCTAAAGTCGGTTTGCATCAGGGACCAATTAAACACAGCCGTACGTCTCTCAGGTCTGAGCCTCTGCTGCACACTACCTGTCCAAACTGAATCTATAATTTGACAGTGTGGACTCCAGTCTAATCTAGTCCCCCAATAAGCATCTTCACCAGTGCCCATTAATTCAGAACAACCTAATGATGCTTCTCACAGTCATACGATTTACTGAACACAATGAGTGCTACTGATTGTTTATTCCACCAGCAAACCATAAGATGCCTCCCCTGGTCATGACAAAAAGCATCAATTGAATCTATTAAAAGGTTTATTTATAGAGATGTTTAGAGAGATGTTCCAAGGAATGTGTGAACAGGATGTGGGTAGAGAACTGAGTAAAGATGATTGCTGAATTACCATGTTATGTCAACGCGTCTGCCATATTGGTCAAAACCTGCTTACAAACACATGCTAGAGAATTTACACATTTTGTTACATAAGTGTGTGTACTATGTATGTCATTATATAAAATATACATAACTAGTGGTCGACAGATATATTGCCAAGGCCGATATATTGGCCGATATTTGGCAATTTTCAAATATTGGCATCGGCCGATAAGTTTTTTCTGTTTGGCCGATGTGTTCGATGTGGGACTTTTATTTTGATTGTACTTTTATTTTATTTTGACGGCGCAGCGGACTTTTATTTTGACGGCACTGAGAACGGCAGTGCCTGAGCGCACACCGCTCACATTCTCCTTCGTTCAGAGCTGTCGTCGTTCAGTTCTGTCTAATATGGATAGAAGTCTATCTAATAATCAGATAGAACTGTTAAACAAAGGAATTAAAATGTATTCAAAAAAGTATTATAACGATTGCTTGAATATTATTAGTAATAGAAAGGCAAACATTATAATACTTTCTCATTTGCCATCAGCATTCAGCAAATACGCATTTATATCATTTAAATCTTTGAATGACTAATGAACATTTAATTTCACAAACCTTGCAGACTTAGTCGAATCTAGTTGAGATCTTGTGAAGTGTGCATTTGTATCCTGCATGATCGCGTGTTCTCTGCGTGACGGTCGGTCCGTGTAAATTGAATGCTGACAGGAGGAGAGTTCTGCTTGACTGGAGACGCGAGATTGACAAACTTTAAACTAGTGATTTCAAATTATGCATAAATTATAAATTTATGCATTTGTCCACTGTCATATTCATGTCATTTTCATTGCGTGCTGTATTTAAAATTAGTGTTACCTTGGCTTTATTTAAAAAAAAAAAGATTCCCAATGCACACAAACTTCCCAGAACACTGCGATCCCTGTTGGTTACAGTGTTTGCTTCCTTTTTAATTAGATTTTATTAAATATTTATTTATTTGTGAAAAATGCTTTGTCTTCTAAAGTATAAGTATGTTTATTTTACACAATTATTTTAATCCATTTCAAATGATTTCAAATTTCTTAAATATAAATTAAAATAAATAAAATTAAATCATCTTTATTTCGGCCATCGGCCACCCTGCTTTCCAAGATATCGGATGCCGATATCTGTCAAAAAACCCATATCGGTCGACCACTATACATAACCTGTATGTGGCATTTGTATGTATTCCATATGTATGATGATTCTAGCAGCCTATAGTGTTAATGAATCTGGGTTGTGAATGCAACGATAGCTGGTAGGAGGGACTGTTGTACTGTTGTGCTTTTCAACAAGGTCTTCAACCTTGGATTGCTCTAGTGGGATGTTCCTTGCAATTAGTGTACTGTAAGTCAGTTTAGATAAAGTGTGTCTGCTAAATGACAAGTAACTATGTTGTGAGCGAGTATTCATTATGTAACAGAGCCCCATATTTCGTTGCATCTTCTGGAACGTAGGTTGCAAAATGCTTATGGTGAGTAATGTTTTGGAAATTGACTTGACATACATGATCCAAGTCGGCGTAGACGAGTTTTGACAGCGCTGTAGCAGCCTGTCTTTGAACCTTCCCATAAAACTCATAACTTTATCTGTTTGTGCACCTCTTTGTCTATTTCCCAGGGGTTCTGCTGCATTTCACTCCATCATATGGCATTTTTGGAGAGAGATGCGCTTGTAAGAATGTCTGTGTGAAAACATATACACACGTATACACTGATATGAATAC